ACAGGACATGTATAAGATTTTCTCAGTCCTTTTGTAACATCATGACTGTTGAGGGATCTCTTAGACACTTGATATCCTGATCACAGTTCATCAAATATTACACTATATACTATGTGTCTTTCCATGGTAACCTCAGGGACAGGATTCTTGGTCATGACACCTAATTTAACACTGCAGATGAAAGAAAGGCTCATATTGTAATTACTGGTTTAGTAACACCCTGGACAACAGATGCCTCTATCCAGATTGTGTTCAAATCTGAAGAAGTCACAAATTCAGAGTAAAAATGTTACAAGCTGGCCACATGTTAAACATAACTAAATTTAATGGCTTCCCAAGATTGACAGATGTCTTGGAATAATGACAAAGACAACCAGAATACCTTTAACAAGACATTATTAGTAAGATGTAATATATTCTAGTTGTTGAGTAGATCAAGGTTTCCACCCATCACATTTATTTCAACAATTCTAATACTTGACAGTGGTTTGGATGGGTGTGAAACTGGAATTGCTTGCTCCCAACAATGATAAAACAACAGTAGTCTTAGTCAGCTAGTTTACCTTTAAATGGGAGAAACTTTGGTTTTCTACTATGATCTGGGATACCCATGTCATTGTTATAGCTGCCCATGTGTTCGCTTGTCCTCTCCTTTAAAGATTGGTGTCAAAATCTGGTGGCTTGCTTTTATGGCTGCTGCTATGTTCAACCCTTTCTGTGTCTTTTTTGCATCTAATACTTCTCTTTTCTCCAACACTCTCTCCTGTCTCTTTCCACTCCAGTTTTCAGCCAACAGTCATATCTTTCTGAGCATCCTAGTCAACATTTTAGAACTATTATCTATTCTACCCCTTTACTTCACCACTGGTGTTAACTCCTCTTCCAGTGTCCATGGAACTGCTCACTTAGTTGGTTCACACTGTTTATATAGAAATTCAAATTGCCAGATTATCACCAATGTTTATTAGTACAACTTGACCATTAAATTATGTTTGTAAAGGTCTCTTTGTTTCACAAACATAGCCCATCTTTCCTCATGACTAAGTTTTTGACAAATGATAATTATTCTTATAAAACCACCAGTGAATAGGTCTTTATGTAAACAACTTAGTCTTAATGAATTTGATAGATAATTTTTTTATTTCAGGTAAGGAAATAATCTTCTATCCTTTTTGCCTGACTTATTGAGTATAGTGGCTGAGTACAGGGTTGTACCCAATTATACTAAATTATCTCCAAAAATAATATTCAGATTTGATTTCTTAAGAACCACTTAAACCGTCTGATCTCTTGAAATTAACTTTCTTAATTATTTGTTTTTCCACATTTAATTCCAATAATCACTAAATGCAATCAAGCCTCATCTCATATTCCCCAATAAAACTAAGCATTTCTACATTTAACTACTTATAGACTACTGTCAAGCCTCCTTGGTTCTACTTGCTTCACATGAGTAGGTTACCACCCACCTCTTCAAATTTTGTCATTATGTCTCAAGTCAAACATAAAACATCTTTTTACATTATAAACAAAAGTACTGCCTTCTATTTATTTCTATAGAAAGTGCAATAGATACAGGGAGCACAATAACACCATATGAAAAAAAAAATATCACTATTTTTTGTTTCCATAGCGATGTTAGCTATGCATTTTCCCTAGCAATGAACAAGAGCTGTTCAAAAATACCCCAAAAGTCTCTCGTCAAACATAGCATTGTTGCCATTACTGAAATGAATCACCCAACGGTACTCCTATTTATTATTTAGTCTCCATGAATAAATATGAATGGGTACAACATTTTTTGCATGGAGGAATTCATTGACACACTTCTGTTTCATACATACTTTCATGTCAGACTGTCAGTCTACTATCTAAAATAAACATAGGTTACTGACAGGAATGTTCAACCTCTGCTGCCATGCAGTGGTTGAACATTTGCTTTTAATGTGGACCAAAATAAAATAGGAAGTATTACTTTTGGAGCAATCTGTACATGTGTAATAATTTGCAAGTAGTTTTAATTGCTAGATAACTAACAGATTGTGAAAATTTTACTTTTATTTATCTTTTTAATGGCAATGTTCACTCTTCAGAGATTTGAATTGTATTTAACAGTTAAAAAATTTGGTGTCAAAACCATAAAACATTTTGCAACCAATCAAAATGAAGACCCAGATTTTAACCCTTTTTTCTGGAGCTTATGTAAAACTTTATAAGCAGAAACATTAAAACCAGTAATTCTAGTGAGAAATGGAAAAATATACGTACATAAAGCACAGCAATATCATCAATTAAATTGAAATCATAGAATAATCATTATGGAGTTCCTCAGTATTGACATAAAAACAACTCTTACTGATTTCCAACTTCATAACCACATGAATATATTACATTACCACATCCTGTCTGTTATCGTTCATTATACAATCATACAACATACAGACATTTTAAGATTTCATTCTCACTAATGAACATTCAAATATATTATGAATAAACTGAACTGTCCAGATGAGCATTCTAACCATGTATGTAAGGTAAAATAAATCCTTTATTGGAAATTTTATTATCTATTCAATCTTATTGTTTCCTATTGTTAACAGATAGTACCATTCTATTTTTTGAATATCAAAGTTTACAACTTGTATATACATCTATTTTTACCACTGGCCAATATTTAATAACACTATAAAAAAACCTGCTTTGTATACTTTCTCAACAAGTATATGAAGAACAGATAATTCCATACTAGCAATGTACTTAAACCTTTTCCTTCCCAAATACAAAATACTAAACTCTTCATACTTTAAATGTAAATAGATAAAACCAATTAATTTCAACAATTTAAAAAAAAAATGAAAAAAAGAATTGCTACACCCACCCCCACCATTTTCTAGTAAGACAGGTAGATATATTTTTTCATTATATCTAAATTCAGTTTCTTGTGATTTATTGAAAAACATAAAATTGGTACTAAACTAGTCGAATGCCATGTGGATTATATTTGGAGTAAAAACTGATGATTTTTTGTCTATAGCTCTGGTTTGTTCCCACCAGGTGAATATTTGTGAAAAAAGAACCATAGTAAACTAACGTTTACATTTTTGTATTTTGAGGTAATATTTAATTTAATATTAAAATATTATCAATTTCTTTCACCCCCAAATGTCATTACATGGGAGCATTTCAAATAAAAGTACCATAAACAACAGTATCAATGAGGATAATTGAAACTGAAGGTGTTTTGAGGTCCTGAGAGAAGGTAACAGAATACTTGTTTCATTATTTTTTTACTAGTTTCCTTTCATCTTATTGTATTTCAGTTGTATCCATTCATTGGCTAATAAATTAAGTATAGAATTTGGGGATAAAGTAGTTTGGGAGGAAACTCCATTAGTTTAATTCTATGTCAGATAAAAGAAATTGGCCTGAAAAATATCAAAATAAAAAAAAACTTTGTAAAAGTGATAGTGAGCAAAAGTTTCTTCATAACGAGGAGGTAAATTTAACTTTTATGTTGCACATCAACTCGTGAGTTTTAAAATGTTCTCATTTGTTAAACAGATCATGGTCCATCAAACACAGTTCCATTCATGTACATGGATATGATAGAGAGTACTTCAGTAAATGCTCTTTGCAAGCATAATGCATTATATGTAGTTGGTGTAATAATACACTCTCCAGAAAATTTTTGTGATCTGAGGAAAACCCTGACTAGTTAACAAAAAAAAAAAAAAAAAAGACAACAATTTTGATACCCAAATGTTGATTCCATAATTATTCAGTCATAAAATGTTTCCATTTTCCAGTTTCGGTTATCTATGGTTAGCATCAGACATAAAAAAAAATTCTTAAATTTTACTTAATAATGGTTTCAAATAGCACAGGTGATAACATTGACAATTCAAACATATGAAACGATGCTTTTTTTAAATGAAATGGTAAAGTTCTTGAATTGATCAAGTTGAGAATGTTTATTTCATTTAAAGGAAACATTTTTTGACATGACTGAATTGTCAGTATCATCACCCTTGCACTTTGAAACCACAGTTAATTAAAACTTATGAAGTATTCTTGATGCTGACCACTAAGGAAAGAAAAAACATTATATGCTGAATGTACTGTTGTAAAAAAAAAAAAAAACCTATCCATCAAATAACTTATTACAGTAATGTGTTATAATAATTCTATTTTATTGCATCTCATTTATAACATAAATTTAATATGTATGTATGGATGGATGGATATAAGAATCAACACTGTATGGCAACTGTCAATTTCATGTCTCAAACAATCTTCAGACCATGAAAAAAAAAAAAAAAGAACTATATATGATTCATCACTTTCTATATTTTAGGCATCTGTTGGAAGACATGAAATACATCCACTGTGTATAAAAAGGAGACAACAGTAATAGCAAAAGTGTTTAATATTGAAATAAATGTTACCATATTGAATTAAAAACAATATATAAATCACTTAAGTGTCAATAACATACTTAAAGATAAACAATACTTTATTGATTAACAAGAAAGTGTGATTAGTTCAGTTAATATATTGAAGTGGTAAATATGGCCACACCTTTGCTACTGTCAATGTTGACAAGAAGATAACATATTTTTAATGTTACTAATTATATAAAATTGTTTTACTGGTGCTAACTCACTCACTTCTTTCCTTTGTCAATAAACCTGGATATACTGTCATATCTGGCGACTTAACATATCAAAGGGAAAAAATGGATTTCCCAAGGGTATAAGTATTTAAAAATAATAAACTGCACCAGTTTTTGTTTCAGACTTTCAATCCTTTATATTTCAAAATTATTTGATGAAAAATTTCTTTACAGAAATCTGTTATGTTAACAAAATCTAGTTATAGATATTAATATAATGCTGAATTGAATCAATACAAATGGCTAAAAATCTTGTACTAATTTACAGCCAATGAAAAGAAAATTTGTTTTTATATTAATAAAAAGTAAAGTGACATATTAAACTTACTTGAATTTGCTGACACTTTTGAATTCATCAACCTGAATAGAAAAACAAGAGACATTTAAAAATAATTCCAAATAAAAGTATATGATTTTATTTTCATACACAGGAAAATATTTTTATTTGACAAGAAGACCTTAAAATATATCACATGAAGATAACACAGAATGAAGGGTCAATTGGAAAACAAAACCTCAATTATTTGACACTAACATGCTACCCCATACAGTCTAGTATAAAGTGCTGAGATTTAGGTCATGCAAGAATAAAGGAATAGCATTGTTTTTTTGTATTTATTTTTAGGTGAAGAGTAATTATAAATTTCTACATCTAGATGCAGTTGTAATATTTAATTTCCAGAATATACACAAAATTATATTTCTAAAAACTTAGTATGGTACAGAGACACATAAGAGGAAGAAATATTGTGTTATGCTAATCTGTAAGTGGGGGAATATCTGCCTGCCTTTAAAATCAGCATTTTACCCAGGCTTAAACACCAACCACTGAGAAATATATAGCCACATCAGCTACTTAGCAGGAAATTATATATATAATGTATGAGGGAACATTAAAAGGTTCTTGGCCCAACAAAGATTCTCTTAAAAGAAACAAAACAATTTTATGTTTGGTCATTTGTTTAGATTTTGGGAAGTGAGTTGGGCCAAAAACTTTTCACACCCCTTCATATAATTTTACATAAAAACCAAAATGCAATATTATTACAACTTAGTGTGTGAGAGAGAGAGAGAGAGAGGTTATTAAGGGGAAAACTAAAGTTAAAGTGAAAAGTCAAAATGGAGAAAACAGGGATTATTGGTCACCCACAATGAGTGAAGAAATAAAAATCATATGGAGGATGAAGTGATATTGATGCAAATATTAGGTGTATCAAAAAGTATTTTTTTCAGACCTTTACTCTAAAGCTTATTTCATGTACACATTGAATGACTATTTCTGACACTAATATATAAAATTTTAGTAAAATGCACAAATAGGAGATAAAAATGCTACTTGAAGTTTCATGTTAAGCATGATCATCAGGTATTGTATAACTATTCTTTGTTCAAACTTCTCAGCTTCTGAAGACATTGAAAGGTCTCTTGTAAATTATTATCCAGATTTAACCAATCATAAACTTGCAGGTAAATAGTATAAGAGGTGCTTATTTTTATGATTGTTGGACATTTGTTTCCACAGCCCCACAGTTGCTCCGATGTAATGCACATCTAGTTCATCTCTTCTGCCCACACTTGCTTGGTATATGGGGCTCAAAGAATTTCCTCCTAAGGAACAGTTACTTCTGTTCCTGCAATTGCAAAGTGAGAAAGGATTGATGCCACTAGCAGACAGCACCTAGTTTTTAATATTTTTTCCTCTCTCTCAATAAAGTATCTCTTCAGGATGTAAGCAATTATGACTTTTCCAAGATGTTTCTTTATTATCTATGAATTGGCATATATTATTGGGAAAGATAGTGGAGTCATTTTCCAATGCCCTCTCCACAGTCTGGAATTTAGAGTTTTCCTTTTCTTAAATTGGTTGCCACCAAAGATCAGAAACCCCGGTTTATGCTACTATTTAACATATACCTAGTTGAGAAGAGATGGATTCCTACCTTTTCCAAGGGCATTAGTTTGAAAATGAATGCAACAGACTAGGCTAGAATTTGAACCTGGCTTGCTGATTTCACTTTCCACACCCATATTTGTATACTACTGCAGCAGTAATTCATATTTAACATGTTTCTATTGAACAATTTGAGTAGCTTGTTGGTTACAAGAAAATGTTTCTCTATTAACTCCAGAATTTTCTTCTCCACTTGAATTTTCAGCTCCTTGTTAAAGTAGTGTGTGTATCTGTAGGGGGAGAATAAATAATTTTCCTTTACTTTATCAATTTCAAGTTAGCTGAATAACCAACTTAATCTCACTTAATAATCTAGTTTGGCCTTGTTAAAAACATTTCTATTGAATTAACTGACAACCTGTTACAAATGGATACTGGAATTTGTTTAAAAGTGGCATGACAAAGTAAAGCTGTGTTTATATAAAGTAAGGTGTTCTTTTTCCTGTATGGCTGGTAAATTTTCTTTCCAAGATTAAACATTACATCAAGAAATTTTCTCTTCTTTCATATTTGTTTTTATAACAACCGTAAACTCCAGATCTCCAAATGAAAAATATGATCAAGTAAAGAAAAACAAATATTGTAATAGCAAATACAAATATGAAGATTCTGGAAATTTTCAGACATTATTTTGAATTGGGCCTCAAAAATGATTGCAGAATTCAACAAGTGAAAGGAAATGAAACTGATTGAAACATTTCAAGAGTAGTGACTTATCCTTTAAAATTGAGCCCAAAAATAGCTGACCATCAGTTTAAAATATAGTAGAGGAGGCCTTGACCACCAGTACTTGAGATCTTTCAAAAGAGCTAAGATTATTTAAAGATACCATTACATAAACTTCATCAAAATACTTCTTCTATGTGCTGTCCCTTCAGAGCTATGACAGGCAATCATGGCTCTCCACAACTCCCTATCCTTTGTAGCTCTTAGTAAGGTTTGACTTTTTGCTATTCTTCCTAATGCCTGTCCTACTGACTTACACAAACTTGCGAGGTAGGTTATTTGCTGCATTACTGTACCCCTTGCCTTCATTATGTCCTGTAAGTGTGAAATTCTCCAAGCCTTCTTTTCTCATTATGTGCCCCAGAAATTTCAATTACTTCTTTTTGATTCTATGTATAAGTGATCTTTTTACTTCCATTTTTCCTTAAAACTTCATCATTGTTTAAATGTTCAATCCATGATATTCTCAGCATTTCTGCTACCTCAAATTTTTTCATCTGTGAGGAGATTGTTCAGCATTCACTGCCATATAGAAAAACAATATTACAAAACAGTTCCACACTATTTTCTTTGTTTCTAATAAAATTTTCCGGTTTCTTAATACTTTGTTTAGTTTTTGGAAGGCATATTTCCCTATTCCAATGCGCCTTTGGATTTTGGCATAACATTTTCCATCCTCTGCTAAAATACTTAACCCGATATTTAAATATTCATACTTGCTTGATCTTTACATCTTCAATTCATAGTTCACATCTTGGGCTGTTCCTTTTGTTGACAATTAGACATTATTTTCTTACAATTGATGTTTAGTCCTACCTTCTCTCTTTCCTTTAATAGCTTCTGCAGGAGTCCCTGTAGTTTCCTTTCTGTGTCTGTTAAACATTATCTTTCCTACATAATCTTATAAACTGAACTTCTTGCCTTACAACATGAACCATATAGTCACCCTCTATCTTGAGTGGCTCTTGGGCCTTAGATTGGGTGACCATTATTAAAAAAAAACCATACAAGGTGAGCATTCTGAGATAGTTGTATATTTCCAGGGTTCCCAGAGATCTGTGTAAAAAAAAAATCAAGGATTTTTCAAGGACTATGTTAAGTTTCAAGGACTGAAACTGGTATGTGCACACACAAAGTGAATGGCCATCAATTTCAAAAACACAAACTTTGTGATTTATCTCTTAACAGTTTGACAGATGTTCAAAGAAAAGCTACAGCTGGTTCCAATAATTCATGTCACATGGATCAGTTAAAAGCAGTGAAGAAATCCAAGTGTTGAAGTCTAAAACACAACTGAATGCAGACCTGGTACATTTTGTGTAGCATTCTATACAGTTTGGAGTTCTACTGCACTTTTTGAATTTAAAATTTTGAATTACACACTAATTCTTACTACTACACATTTCAGCTATCTGGACTACTCATGGTTTGTGAATGTCCCAAAAATTTTTGACTGCTGCACATTCCCTGTGAAGTTAATCATAATGGTTTTAATGAACAGAACAACAAATAGAAATTTTCACAAAAAGACTACAATTTTAACTATTAATATTACTCATGGCTTTCATTGCACAGAACACAATATTAACATTTTTTCAGTTCATCTAGTTTAGAATTCTCTTCTAATTTTGATATCTCTACAGACTTCTCTTTTGCAGATCTTTGCATGGCATTGAACTTTCAGATTTCTCCAAATAGCTGTCAGCTGACTTGAGCAAATCTAGTGTGAAACTTTCAAGCTTGTGGTTTTTGGTCTTCATTTTTTTATTTTCTATAAGCATAGATTTCCATTTTTGTCCAGCTGCTTCTTCCTATCTTTTTTTCTTCTTGGCCTCAATGTATTGGTTGTATACTGTTCTGGCACTGGAAGCACTGCAGAGAAGAGCCTCACTCATGGGAACATTTCCAGCATCTCCAACTGTGACCAAATAGCCTGTGATAATGCACTGTATGACCAGAGTCTTACTGGCTGAGAAACCTCTCTCCACTGAGGCCTGTCCATGAGAGAGTACCAGGAATTTGTGAACAACTTTCCACAGTTTTTGATATTCTTTGTTGATAGACAAAGAAGAGTAGAACAAAGTGTCCAAACAGTTTTCATGTATGCTTAAATTCTTGAAAGCAATTTCCAGCAGCCTCCACCTTGAACTTTTTGTATTGACTGATGATGTCATCACAATCAGACTGGCTGACTTGTTTTATGTCCAACATGTGGGAAAGACATTTTTAGACTATCTTCCGAGGCAGATTTTTTTCACATATGGATCCAGGGTTCAGCCATGCAAGTGACCTTACAAGAGTAGCCCCATGTTTGGATTTGACAAAATTCTTAAAAATTCATTCAGTTTGAAAAATATAATTATCTTTTTAGTGTGCTCTTCCTTTACAAGTCTTAACAGTTTTTATAATCATGCTAAAAAGATCATCTGCAAGGAAAGGAAGCAATGGTTTATCGATCTGATATTTTATCAGAAACACTTCAATGTCTTTTGAAATGGACACAAAAATCGGCACTTTCACTGGAAATAAAACATCATTCACGTTTGACAGCACTGCAGAGAAGGAATTGGTCTGGAGACATTTTTCTGTCTTTTATTCACAAATTTGATGACATCTGGCCAAATGTCTAGGAGTCATTCACATTTGTACATTTTCTAGCCATCTATGGTAGAAATACAAAAGTAAGGGGACAAGGGTTGCCAGATTGAACTTCTAATATAAAGCCAAGCAATAAAAGCCAAATAAGTTTTAATATACTTCATTTTTTTTTTTTTTTTACATTTACAACAAAAGCTACAGATACAGGTCATTATTAGCCTGCAAACTTTACAAATAACATTCTTCTTATTTTTTCAAAGATGCATTTTCTAGCCTAAGACACATCAAAGACATATTTTCTATTCTATCATCTTTCCCGGCTACATTTTCCTTAAATCAAATTTGATTCCAAACTTGTTACTTTTAACAACAATTTAGACAAACTTAGTTTACACATAGATACACACTGACATAGGGATGCACACGTAAAGTATCTTTATTTTTTCAGCATGAACTCAGCCACTGCTGACTAGAGATCAAAAGAACTTTTTACTTTTGAAATTGACATGTGAATAAAATTTCAATTGTTCAAATTTTAAAAAAGACAGTGATAAATTTTTTGAGTTTCTACTAAAATGTATTTTATTACTGTAAAATAATTTTTTTTCCTTTCAACTACAAATTCAATGAGTGTGAATTAATTTATCTTTGATGGAGATGTTTACTTGTCTCCAATATGCCTTTTATCTTGCCTTTCCTCCTTTCTTGTTGAGTGAGAGTATCAATTAGGAGAAGAAACGCTTTTATATTCTTTCTTTCTTGTCACATAGACAAGAAAATACAGAAGTAACTACAGGATCATGAACTCGCTCTAATCAAGGAAGCAAGCCACCATTTGTAATAATTGCCAAATATTACTGATGACTAAAAAACATTTCTCTTAAAAGACAATTTTAACAAATAAAAAAGTATTTGCCATTTTGACTTCTATGAAATGAAAAAAAGGACATGTGAGCAGTCCATTTTTGAAAATTCCTAGACTTTTAAAGATGCTATGCTGTTGATGATCTATTGCTGTTTTTCCAGGACTTTTTAAGGTTTCTAGGACCTGTACAAACCCTGCCACCTGTATCAATAGTCAGTCAAGATTTAACATGCTAATTTTCAAGAAAAGTAAGCCCTCTCTACTTAGCAAATTGATACAACACAATCTTTATCTGTAACCATTTGGTCTTCTGGTAATCCAGTCTAACCTTAATAACTAGGCACATAAGTACATCAAACTATTTTACTGAAATGATGTTCAATATCAGATTAGAAGATTCAATTTTGTTTTGCAAAGGATTTGAAATTGCAGAAATGGTTACTAGAAAAAGGGTATGTTATGCTTATAAATCTAAGACTGGATGGTTATAATTCTTATCTTACCTGTTCTTTTGGCACCTGAGCAATTTCAAGCAGTCTTGGTTTTCCTTCATATTCAACAAGAGTTCCACCCTGAATATCAATGAGAAAACATACACTAAGATGAAATATTTGAAACGGTTTTTCAATGTCTCTCATCTTGAAGCATTACTTCTGAAAAATGGATCATCCTTATATGGCATAAACATTTTTATGAGATATTTTTTCTAAAAAGGGGCTAAAAACAAAGTTACTTTTTATAAATTTCTTTTAAACTGAAGAAAAGAATTCAAAACATTCATAGGCTATAAAGATTTTATTAGATGAAACATTACCAACATTACTCTTTATTTCCAATCTGTACTGTTTACTTATGTCCATAGACTGATGGTCTGAATAATTGGAAACAATTTAAAAACAACTTTAAGATAAAGAAAATACTAGTCAAAACTTAAAATAAATACTAGTCAAAAATTAATAATGACTGACAATACTTCATCTCATACAAAAAATTAAAATCATGATACTACTACTACTACTACTACTATTAGTACTCAAAAAACAAAATAATTGATAATATGATGACAAGTGACCTAGGAAAAGAAAATGATGAGCAAGTCTATGAAGATAGATTTTTATCTACTGCCAGACATAGAAAACTCACTGCTCAATCATTAAAGCAGCCAATATAATTAACCAGGTTTCACAAAGCCAATGAATGCAAATTTCAGTCTTGCAAAAATTTATTTATTTCCAATCCATTGCAATAGACTGATGGTTTGAATAAAAAGCAATTAAAATTAAAAAACAACACTTGTCAAAAAAAATAAAATAAAATAATTAACAACTTAGAATATATAAACATTTTTGAGATTAGAAACTTCATTTTCTATTACATTTTTAAGCAATACATTCTTCAGAATTTTAACTTAATTTTAAAGGTCTAAACAAAGCATTGGTCATTATACATACCACAAAAGAAAAATTTTAGATGTCTGGAATAGTAAAATACTTTATTTCAAAACTTAGATATGTAACGAGAATTTTAATATTTCATAAGTTTGTTTAACAATAAGAGAAATTCACCAATTTTTAATAGAATACTTCAAAGATTTTTTAATGGTTTTTGAAATTTGAGCTAATATATCTTGGGATAGTCATATAAACAAGAGAACATTATTCTTATAGTTATAATAAATAAAAAACAGAAAAAAAGATGCAGACCTTAATATCTCCCCGAGTTTTATCAGTAACTTCCATCACAAATTCAGGTACTGGGCCATTAGATGTGTTTAAAAGAAAATTTAATATATCTGTGCAATTGTTAAGGTAGCCATAATACAGTTTTAAATGTTATTTCTAAAATTATCCAATTACTGAAAATTATTGCTAGTAATCAATAAACTTGATTTTTGTAAAAAAAAAAAAAAAAAAAAAAAGATTTATTGGTGGAAATAAAATTAAAAATACAGTTTTTAAAATTAAATTTATTGTCTCATTCTTTTGGTCATTTTCCAAAAATATCAATCAAAATATGTTGTACATACCTAATGAAGAGAACTTTTCATGGTAGAAAACTAGAAAAATGATTTTATTGTACTATTCTTATTACTGTCACTAAATTAATATAAATATTTGGGCTATAACCACAATGAAAAAAAAAGCATCAAATAAGACAAATTCTTATTTTTATTTTTTTTACTAATATTCACTAAATACAAAGCCCAAGGGTCACTCAATGTAGAGGGTTACTGTGTGGAGTTATATTAGTGTAGGAAAGGACAAGCATTAGGAATATAGAACAGAAAAGACTGGGGAGGAGTGAAAACTGGACAATAGTCAAATGTATCTACTCCCATTGGTGAAGGAAAGAAAAAAAATAAAATTAAATAGTGAATAAAATTTCAGAGTTCTGGCAGAGACATTTGGAGTACAGAGCTGAAGTAGACTTTAGAAGGAACTGGAAACTCAATCCTAAATAGAGAACAATAAACAAACCTCTACTCCTGTTCAAAAGACCAGGGAGGAGTGTCAACAAGATGATAGGCAAACCTATCGACCACCAATTTTGAGAAATATACTTAATTCCTTATAAGAACTTAATTCCTTATAAGAACTTTAAACAACTATTTTTTAATGCTTTTGAATGAATTATTTCCATTACAAAAATGCCCATTATGTCACTTTGGTTATATCAATTTTTTCTACAGTTAAGTCACTCACAAAGGAACATCAAAAGAGATTTAAAATACTTAATTATACTTTTAACAGCCATAGTTGGTCAGTAATAAGAATTGCATTAATTCCTGACTACTGTCAATTTCTTCATCTTTCTGCAGGGAACTTCAAAGTGAACCCTTTATTTAATCTACATTATACTGCCATGTCTAGGGATATCTTGCCTCTCTCTCTTTTTTTAACTTCTCAGTTATTACTAGTCTTGTTTCCACTGAGTGAGTGTGTACTACCTAACCTAAGAATTGAAATCACAACTATGATGCTACCAAATTTAATAAGTAATCTTCTTGACTATTTTCCTGTGGGACAATCCTGAAGCTGGTATTTGGAGCCTTAAACCTAATAATCTTATTGCCTCCTCTGCTACTGAAACCATGATGTCAAGATTGGCTCCTTCCACTAATTAAAGCATTGGCTTGTGAATTTGTGGTATAATAGTTGTGAGTTCAATAACTTAATGAAGAGATTGTATTCTCTGACAGGATTCTACCGGAGAACACATTTTCTTTATCAAGTCTCTCAAATGTGCAGACTGGTAGATATAATTCACACTGTTTAAAAAAACAAAAAAAGAAACAAGCTATCAATTCAAACATGGGTATCCACAAAATAACGTTTAGAGTTAAAGGTTTAACTATATATATATATATATATATATATATATATATATATATATATATATATATTATTATACACGCATGTGCTAACAATGATAATCATGTGATTTACCTGGCTACTAAAAATGCTTTTATGTATTTGTGGTATTCCAGATATTTTGAGAATTACTCACAGTAAAAATTAGCAAATATCAACCAGTTTATGTTCAGATGTTTATGTTTAAAAAAAACATCTCCCTTTCAAGTATGTTTAAAACCATTTTCAAAAGGATACGTAAATCAACAGTTGCCCCTAGATTATCAATATTAGATAAAAACATATATTTTCGGCCATCATTGAGGAACTCTTGCAAGAGACCAGCATTATAAAAACTTGCATACACATCACCATGGCCAGGTGGATACCAGCTGCAAAGGAAACAAAAGTCATGATAAGAGAATAAAACAATTAAAATGATATGAAAAAAGAAAAGCAAATAACCAAAAATGCGTAATTTTATTCCCTAACAAACATTACTTAGTTACAAACTTGCCAGTCTTATTGAATGACAATACTAAAATTGTGACAAACCTATTAATTTAGTTTTTAGTATCTTATATTTTTTATTGTTCCTTTTCATATGACAATTTGCTAAAGATTTATTTGTAAAACAATAGAAAATTCATTGAAATAATTTGTAAAATAATTGTAAAATAACAGAGAAAATAATTCAAATAATTTTTTTACAAACCTGTTAGAATTATCAGAATTACTTTTGGGCAGTGGAAGTAAAGACTCATGCAAGATTCGTGGAAACCTGATGAAAATAGAAAATATATAGAACATAAGAGCAGATAAAAGATTTTATATGAAAAAACATTAAAATACAAACAGATTTCTAATTATGAAAGTTGAAGAGAGGGTGGATCAATAAGTCACAGCAATTAGCTGAATTTCATTCTGCTTCTATTTGGTACACTGGATTTTTACAAAAATAAGCACAATTATGTTAACTTTTCTTTTCTTCCAACCAAATATATTTTAATGCCAAGTCCATTCAAGTCACACAACAGATTCTTTCTCTTTATCTGTAAACTGCCAACCATTCTTGGGAAAGATAGGGGAATAGAATTCTGTTGCCTTCTCCATTGTTTGGAATTGAGAATTTTTCTCTCTTAGACTAGTTGCCAACCAAAGATAGAGAGTCCAGTCTACCCTGCTATTTAACTCCAAATTGTGGAGGGGATAAAGTGATGGATTTATCCCTTTCCCAAAGACATTTGTCTAAAGTGAATGCAACAGATGAGCCTAGAATTTGAACTTGGCTTTAAATTCTATTTTTTGCACCATCATCCCCTACAGTATGCATAAATCTAGTACTATATATTATTCTATGTGCCATGTCCCTTTAGGACATGGACGATTATGAGGCCACAATTTCCTGTCCTTTTTAGCTCTTAATAAAGTTTTTTTTTGTTATCTCTCTTAATCATTAGGTAGACTATGCACTGTTTTCCTCTGTCCCTGGCCAGTCTATTCTGAAATTGTTTGTCAATTGATAAAAATGTTCATATCATTCATGTTATTGAACTTTTCTTTCATGTTCATCTTTTTTTTAATTTAAGATTTATAACAAAAGAACAAGGGTCACTTTCTGTTATTGCATTTTTAAGATAATATGAATAAACAGAATTATTAACAAAATTCAGCCTTACTTGATAATACTGACTGAATTAAAATATTTCTTTCTCAGAATTATTTTGATACTTTATTGATAAAGACATTTCCTTCAAACATAGAAGCAAAGTATGTTAATATCTAAGTATAGTTGTAGAGACAAATTTTTATTTTCAATTTCCATAAAATTATACTAAATAAAGAAAATATCCATGCAACAAGTTCAGACAAGTTCAAGGGAAAATTTAACAAACTATTTACAGGATTAAATGAAGAAGAAAATATCAAATACACCAATTTGAACATTACATTTTGAATTTTAGAACTTTATGTACCTATTGTCATATTCTCAAATGTGCACGCACACACACACATTATTATATATATATATATATATATATATATATATATATATATATATGTGCGTGTGTGTGAAGGATTATAGTAGTTCCAACGAGAGAAAAGAATAGATTTTAAAGAGAAGCCACAAATGTTTTTGGTTATAATGTGGATTTTTTAAAAATATATATCATACTTTATTTTCCATATTTTTTTGCTACACATATTTTGGGACTTGTGACAGTCATCAGGCAAAGATTAGTTATTTCTACAATACTTAAAGGAATTAATTTTTTCTTAAGGTTTTCTCATGTTTAACCATTGTCTTTTGTGTGTAGTAGTAATCCAAACTCTTCTTGGACATGTGGAGAAAATGTTCTTCTGCTTTAAAAGTAATAAAATAATTATGATGGTTCAGAGAAAGGGAGAAGGAAGAAGATCCTTGTTCTTATCTTTTTATGACCTCTGTATCTTTAAACCTATCTCCATTTTTGTGTATTGCATGTATGTTTTTGCTAGTATGTGTATACATATTCCTTCTCCATACACACACACGCACACATATATAACATAAATGTTATAACATCACTACAAAAATAGCCATTTTGTTTCAATACTTCTGGTGTCTTATCAAGTGATGGTGTTGATGGAGAAATAAAGAGTTTTTTTTGTTTTTTTTTTTAAATTCAAAACTAAATCAAACCCCCTCAATATGTAACAATCAGAATACAAGTATATGAAAATTCATATACAAATAAGCAAACTTGACAAGATTTAAGCACACATATAAACATAAAACAATACAAACTACGTCAAGTTTGCTTATTTGTATATGAATTTTCATATACTTGTATTCTGATTGTTACATATTGAGGGGGTTTGATTTAGTTTTGAATTTTAAAAAAAAAACAAAAAAAAACTCTTTATTTCTCAATCAACGCCATCACTTGATAAGACACCAGAAGTATTGAAACAAAATGGCTATTTTTGCAATGATGTTATAACATATTTATGTTATAATTTTTGAATAAATACTATTTGCTCTACTCTGCATTGAGCACTTTTTTTAAGAATAGTGTTTTTTGTTTATTGTAATTTTATTCTCTCTATACCAATCCTATACTCATGTATATATATATATATATATATATATATATATATATATATATATATATATATATATATATATGTATTTTAAAATATAAGTGGTGTAAAAGTCTAAACCTTATTTCCACCTGGATTTTGCCAACAGATCTTCAGGCAGCAGTAGGTATGCTATTGTAAAGTTTGATAACCAACCTGAGAAAGTATATGTATATACCAGTTCAGAGAAATGAACATTCAAACAGATTTTATAATCATAAAATATCTTTGAATTTGGCAAAATATAAATATAGCACATGCCTTGTTAGCTATGTGTAAGAAATAAGAGAAGAAAAGGACAAATGTGTTACTGTTAAATGGGATATTATAAAAAAAGACCTACACTTTTGGCCTGAGAAGCAAGGTTTGCTAATAGTGCCAGGAAGAGAAGTTGCTAATAGTGACTACTCAAGTAGGATATGTTGTTGAATGGGAGATTCAGTGTGCTGACAGCATGTAACTATATAATAAAATACCTCCTAACAAATTTTAAACCAGGTTAGAAGGCATTACCTTAGAGTTTTTTGGTATTGTAATACTATACAAAGTTTTTCCTTATCAATATTATATATTCATGTGTTGAAACAAAAAAAAAATATCATACTTATTGCTACCTGAAGATACATTGGCGAAACTACAATAGCTGTAAGGTTTGGATTTTTTTACCACCTATATTTTGAACAAAATTTAAATTGCTTTGTAGTTTCCAGTTTTTAAAAATGTACTGACACTTTTAATTTGGAAATAGTGATTTTCAGCAATGCTTTAATTCATTTGTGGTTATTTTTATGCATTCCTGAACTAAGAAGACTGCTTTATCTAGGTTATAACCTAGATATGTGTATGGCTGTGAAATAAAAAAAAATAATCAACTTTTCTTTCTCTTACGAACAGTGAGAAAGCTTTAGTATCTCATAATTATTTTATTCTGTTACTATCTATAGATATCACTCTATTCATATCTATTTATCGGTACCTAGAACATGACAGCATAGAGATGACCATAAAACAAATTCTAAGCTTATTGCTCATGATAAAATGAATTTTAAATTTTCTTTTTTAAATTAATGAACACAAAAAGTGAATTCAGGTAAAAATAGCACAACTGAAATGAGAGGAAGAAATGGTACAATTAAATTCTCAGAAAAAAAAAAATTTCATCTTTTTTTAAACTCTAAAATATCAGTTAATTATAAGATACTATTGAACATTTTGGAAATTGTTTTTAAAGTTTTTTATATTTTTAGGTTTGTTATTGAATTAAAATATACATGCTTACATACATACACAATTTGAATGAAATTGAAATGGACATAAGTGTCATGAGGGTTAACCTTTGGGTGACAAGAGTATAAACTGAAATGTGCTGCACTTTGAAGTTATTTGTATAACTTGTATTTTCTAAATAAATGTTTGTCTATTCAAAATACTAAAATTTTAGAGTTGAAATTTGATCATCCTCATGCTGCCAAATGTAATTTCATTTATTTATGGTCTTGAATTGTATTTGTGATCCTCAAAGTCATAACATAAAATAAAGATCATATAGTCTTGCATGTTATAATTTAAAGTTATCTGTCAAAGCATTTTTTCATTATAGTTATTGTTGATCAAAACACCTTATATCAAAGTTTACCTACTTTTTCTACTTTTGTGATAGCTACTCATTTGCCCATTTGTAACATTATGGAGAAGTGAATTAGAGAAATAACATTTTTCTATAAAATAATTTTGAATAGAACATTAATAAATTCAACATTATCATAAAAGATATGGAGAGTTTCAGAATATTAAAGTGTTTTGTACAGTCTGTATATAATTGTAGTTCACTGATGCATAAAACATAAACTTGGTTAATATGACTTCATTTTTACCTTAGCTGGGCAACACCTATATTCATATTTGCTTAAAATAAAATACAATACACCCATAGCATAATGATATAGAGTGATGAAACATTAATTTTACACAATTGTGTGTGTGAGTACTAATATAAACTTCTTTGTCTACACATTTAATACAAATGGTGAATATTAGTCAGCTCAAATATTACACAGTGATAATTTCAGATAATAATTATGCATTAGGTACCTCCACAAAATTGCGAAAAAAAAAAAATAATGAAAAAAAAATAAAATAAAATAAAAAAAAATCATCATACCATAATGAAAACAATTTTATCGTCAGAATCTTCATGTTATTATTAAAAGAAAGGATCAAAATATTTTTTGAATATTTGACGAAATTTTTTACTCCTTTTTAAAACATTCAAAAAAATAATTAAAAACTTGTTTTTCTTGTGTCAGCAATTGTACTAACTTTTAGCATAGCAATTTTTAGCCTCTTTTTTGCAGTGACAGAAACATTAATTTGGAAATTCTTGCAAAAACCAAATAATTGCCAGATTTTAATGAAATTTTTAGGACTTATTCACAAATGAATAAAATTATTTTTGAAATATTTTTATTAGAAAATCTTGATAATTTTTTTTTTTTTTTTACATGTGTTTCACCCCCTTATTTAATTTTATGAAAATTGTGAAATTCAACATGATCATTTTTAGTGACTATATTAGTTAAAAGCAGAAATTTTTGAAGAATTTAAATAAATTTTTTTTGTAAAATCAGACCTCCATCTTACCAAAAATTTGTTCTGAATCAAAAAATAAAAAATGCAATAAAACGAAGACATTATTTTATGAGAGAAGCTTTGAATTGCTTTTATGAATAATATATATTAAGGACAATATTGCCTAAAAAAAAAAAAAAAATTTTAATGAAAAATGAATTTTTACAAGATTAGTTTTCATTTTTTACAATTTTAAATTGAATAATTTAAAAATTTTTTAAAATTCAGTTTCCATGTAACAACTCCCAGGAAACTATATTTACTAACCATACATTGTAAAGCTTATTACAATCTGACAACCCCAAATATTTTTAAAGGAATTTCAATTTGTTTTTGTATGTGATATATGTGCAGAATTTCTAAGTATGAATGCACAAACCTATAAAATTAACATTAAAACGATCACATGCTTTAAGAGTTGGAACAACCTTACGGGAAAAAAAAAATGAGTATGATTATTGTCTGCTCCACCATAATTAACTATGAACATGTTTGGCAGTCATTCAGCTGTCAATAAATTCATTAAAACATCAGAAAAACAAGACCCCATAGTTAAGAAATGCTTGTGCACAACATTTTATGCTATAAGTAATATTTGTTTCAAATCAGATTAATTTAACTTTGCTAATTTTCTTCAAATAAAATTTCAGAAATTTTTGCAAAATTTTTAAAACCAAGAATTAACTTTTATTTACAAATGTGTCAAAATGGCCGATTTTATTGAAAAGAAAAAAAATATTGACTCTGATCAATATAATTTCTGTTTGAAATACACTACATATTATTTTGCTTACTGGAAATAATAAAATTTTAAATTCTTTAGCTTTCAATTAAAGCTAAAATGAAAGCTTCAAAAAAGCTTTTTCATTTTTAAAAATTCATTTTAAACCTTATGTATACTGAATTAGTGGAGGTACCTACTATGTATCAAACTACAAATATATTGGTCTACCACTGTATATATTTATGACAGTGAAATCCTTATTACTAATACCAAATAAAAAGTTCACTTCCCACTTAATTATTAAAATACCGATTTTGGGAAGTTGGTCAGGCTAAAAATTTTTCAGCATCCACTCATAATACTTTAAAGTTAAACAGTAAATAAAATTAAAAAAGGAAAGAAAGAAAGAAAAAAGGAAAGAGAAGAAAAAGGGAAAAAGAAAAAGGAAAGAGAAAAAAAGAAAAAAGAAGAGATAGAGACAGATCGACCTACCTGCTCTGGTTAAAAGTGAAAATTCTTACTTTCACTTGAGCATATTTACACAAAATTTTTTTTGTATCTTCATCTGTGTTGAAAGAATTCATTAAGACTAAAGGTACATCAGCTCCATATGTTTTGTTCAGATACTAAAATATAAATTAGAAATGACATTTAAACATTGTTTAATAAAAATTATATCAAGCACTCATTATACAACTATAATTTTGCAAGACACTGGTTAAATCTAACTATGCTTTGTATGGAGGAGGAAGCTGTCTCTTTTGTCCATTTCATAATTAAACTTTCTTACATATTAACTTTTAGATCTTTTATTGGAAATACAAAAGAGAATTCTCAAAATTTCTCAACATCTGCCAGAATGCATTAGAAAAGGTTGATTTCAAAATTTGCATAAGTGTTCTGGTCTACAATCTCCAAGTAACTTTTAATAACTGGTAATGTGCATTGACCTATCATGAGGGTATGTTTTTCTGGATCGAGTAAACCGCATTCTGATTTTCATTTACAAGTTCTTAAGTTGTTTTTTATCTAATCAAATCAGCTTTCTTTGTGTAAACAAAAGAAATGGATATTAGGTCTCAATGTGACCTTTTTGTAACATTAGAAGACATATTAAGACAAGGTCTGCCTGAAAAGTAAAAAAATCATGATTTTATTTTCTTAAACTTAAATGTTTATTTCTTTCAAGAGAGTGAGTGTACACCTACCTCAATCTGTTGGACAGTAAGGTCAAGAAAAGTGAGATCATTCCGGACAGAGATGGCACTTTTGGGACCCCGACAGCCCATGCTTGTCCCCAGACCACCATTCAGCTTGACTACTACCAACTGATTCAGCATCTCTTTAATGTTAACCAGTTTGGCTTGCTGAATATCTGCATAAGATTTGATCTGCAATGAATAAAAGATTTCACACTGTTAAATCAGTTATTTTTATTTATGATAGTTGGCATTTTTGGAACATTTCCCAAGTAGCATATGGTATATCTAGTCTGAATGTAGTCTCATGATTTCAGATGTGGTCAAAGAACTTTGTCCTAACTACAAGAATTTGTCAAGTTATGATTGGAGTTAATCAAAACTTGCATGTGTTTAATCATTTATTTTGAGATGATCAGTTCTCAATAGTTGCTTTTTCTGCCTCATTTTGCTATGAAAATCACTAGAATGGTGTTGAAATGAATTTTATAAGTGACAAACAGGTTTAATTTGACACTATTTTTCAAAAAAAGATGTATCAAGTGGATTTTGGGGTCCTACATGACAAAATTCAGTCAAATTAACAATATTTTGTCTGCTTTTTTGTTTCAGATCCCCACCCACGACTTTTCTCCTTTTTAGAATAAGTTCCCAAATATAAAAAAAATCTGTAAAAATGTAAGATAATTGTTTTCAGGAAGATATTTAAATTGTTAGTCCATTTCATACATTAAATTGATCATTACCCAATTTTGACAACATGTGCCAAGCACCAAATATTAATTTTCAACATATATTTACTGAAAAATCATGATCTAAATCTATTTCTGTGTTTTTTGAAGCAGGGTTGAATACTTTTTTGATACTGGAAATCTCCTCACAAAATTTTAAAAGGGATAAATGCAAAAATTATGCTCTTTTCAGGAATTTTGGCTCTTTACTGCAGACCGAGTTTTCTACATTAGTTTTGTTTTAATCTTCCACTTAAATACAAATACCATTACATAATACAGTTCCATGATGAAGATGAAAATAATTCAAAGTGCTCAAAAATCACAAATGTTTGCTTGGTTCTATTGTTTGAGCCCTATGTGTTTTATAAACATTGATTCTCCTTCACAGGAGAACATTAAAAAAAGTAAATAAAAAAGCTTTGCCATCTTGATTTTGTAACCTGTTCTCCATTCCAAATATTAAACATGAATTAAACCATTTTCCATTGACATTCGCAAAAATTAACCAAGTCATTTTTATCAAATTCTATTGCTTATTTAACAATATTCATGGTTATAACATTATTTTGAATTTTTTACAAGATAAAGTATTGTCAACAATTATTAATTTCTTTACTAGTACTTTTTCATCATAATTTTAGTTGCTTTTCCACACAACTCAGACCATCTTTCTATGGCCATCTATAAACAATAAGGACTGTGAAGAAGAATAAACTCCAAGCAAGATATGAACTCGTATATCCAATTATATATGACAGCTGCTGTAACAACTGAGCAAGTAGTTTATTCTCAATCCACAGGAGAGTTGATGCTATTAGAAAAAGCAACATAATTTCCCTACTTATCATTTCATCACATTTGTATGATGGACTAGTATGAGCTTAGTAAATATTATATTAATGCATAATAGGAAATAATATTAAGTATGTGATAGAAAGTGTGGAATAAAATCTTTTGAAAGAAAAAGGATGAAAAGGTAAATGTGTGAGTGAGAGAGAGAGGACAATGAAGAAAAATTTCTGTTCAAATTGAGAAAAGAATTGACTGGACAATTTTTTTTTGCTAAACTCCATCTACTGCTCAAAGAATAAATTAAAAACCTCTTTTTTGAGAATTGAATAAATCTTTCCTCTTATTTTAATTTGCATAAGAAGCAATGATAAAAAATGTGAATAAACAAAGAAAAGAATGATTATTCCAAGTAAATTATAAATGAAATCATACTTATTATAAAACCCAGGTTGTGTGTGTGTGTCTGTACGTTTATATATTGGATTGGATTTCCTACATTTTTCAACCGATTTCAACAAAACTTCACAGGACTACATAAAATTACCTTGCGGTGGTTCTGACAGCACCAAAAATTGGAAAAACAATTGTTTTTGCACAAAATCAATTTGATTAAGAGGCATCGCTGTCGAGAATGAAAGGGGGACAACTCATATCGAGTTATACTTATTATAAAACCCAGCTTGTTTTTTTGTTTTTTTTTTTGTGTGTGTGTGTTGTGTTCGTTTATATATTCGATTGGATTTCCTACATTTTTCAACCAGTTTCAACAAAACTTCACTTTTTTTTTGGCAGGTAGTGCTTCTTATTGTCTTGCACATGTTTTTCTTTATTTTTACATTCAGAATGCTTTAAAAATTCCATTTACAAGACAATTGTTTATAATAAAATTCTATTCAATCGGTAGACTTATAATGATTGAAAACAATGTTTTGTTTGAGTTTGGGTTTGACCAATTTGTAAAAAAAAAAAAAAAAAAAAAAAAACTAATTAAGACATGCGTGTCCATCAACCTTAAACAATAATCTTTGTCAATTTTATTTTTCAGTCTTTATGATGGTCGATACTTGATCTATCTCTTACTGTTACATCCCCGGGCAATGCCGAACTCTACTGCTAGTCAATTATATATTTTTAATTTCTGGGATGAAGAGTTATCATTATTTACTATTGCTACCATCTTTCTTCTTATCACATTTTGGCCGTTGTGCCCTCCAGACTTCATCAGGTGCTTCTAGATCTGAGTAACCTTCAGGGAATTTCAAACTGAACCCTTTATTTAATTTATGGCAGTAGATTGTTCTTATTCCACTGTCTGTGTTCAGGGATATCTTGTCTAGTTTTTGTTTATTGCTGCTAACTCCATTTATACCAAGTCCAAGTACACATGCTCATGCCAGAGATTGAACTTGCAATTACTATATCAAAATTTATGAACCAATACTTTAATCCATTACGCTATTGTTCTATGAGACAATTCAATGTGCAGAACTTTAAACCTAACCTGCCTGCTGATAAGTGCTGTTAATGCTTGTCATGTTTGACTGCATTCATTGTGGCTTCACTTTTTACTGCAGTCACTTCTCTTTATTTATATATTCTTACCCTAATATTTATCATTTATTTTTCTGGAGCCTTTCATTAGAATAGGGTACCTGTCATAGAATTAAACTTAGCAAACTCTGCTCACCGACAATGATATTGTAAGCTCCATCCTCAGCAGGTGTTTTCCTATTGTGGCCATATAACAAATTAAGCTAAGCTTAATTAATATCAAAAATCTACTGGAATAGAGAAAACATGTTTAAGTGAATATAAATATGAAATATCTCATTCAGAATTATTATTATTACTATTATTAATCAAATGCAGCAAGCTGGTTGAGAACAAATACTAAAATAGGTAGACAAGGTGTTTCACTAGGAACTGTGCAAATTCTGAGAATAAATATTTACATTCTAGAGGTATTGATTTCGGGAATAAAATCAATTTTACTCAAACTTCCAGTGATATAATTTTGTAAGAACAAAGGAGTGAAACTCCACACTTAAATGAGGTTAGGATAGAAACTCTAAGTTTAAATTATCTGGTCTGATAACTGTAAAAGCATGGGTATCCAAACTTATATCCATTGCACCAAATGTATATTTTAATAAGAGAGGAAATATGATGGTGGATGAAAATAAAAAAATAAAAATGAGAAGAACCAAAAGATGTGATGTGAAAAGCATAAAAAGAGAGAGAGAGAGAGACGAAGAGAATCAAATTTTGGTCAAAAACCTTTCAAATGCTAAAGTAACACGAAATCATAGTAAAGTAAATTCCAATTAATTTATATCCTTTATGGAATGTTATGAAAAAAGTAACAGTAAGAAAACTGGTTAAAAATTAATGAAAGAAAATATGTATACTTGTCAAATAACTTAAGCTTATTGTTATTAATATTACTTTCATGGATTTTGAATAAAGGTGGAGGTTGGAGTTTAAAAAAAAAAAAAAAAAAAATCAATAAGCTGTGGTGGTGAGATCTGAGGAAGAAGTAAGATTTGTATAGAATTTATTTTATTTGAATTAAAATAAATAATCAGAGGAGTTGGATTTTTTTAATTAATAAGCAGGGAAGCAGAAACAATTATTCCAGATTCAATAGTAGTAAACAAATATGGTATGAATAATTAGAGATGAAGAGAAGCAATAGAACTATAGATTTGGGCTTACATTACAGCAGTGGAAAGTGATTTAAGTCAAAATATCAGGTCAGGACCAATAATATTCTTCTTTGGATTTTATCAAGAATCTCTAAATATACAGCAGGAACATTGAACCATATGTGGCAGCAATATTCAAAGCATGGATAGATGGTAGACTTATAAATATGCTAGATAGATTGTTGAAAGAAAAATTGTCTTGCACAACACAGTGAACCAACTTTCTTAGTAGCAAACCTAGCAATGGATTCAGTTTAATCTTTCTACTGCATGTCAACTGAGAATGAAAGCCTAGAAAAGCACGAGGAGTCACTCACATGGTGGTTGATATCAGCTATGCTGATAGGAGAAGGGAAGGTGTCTTTCAGGTGCTTGATAGAGAGAAATTTCATTTTGGAGGCATTAAAATTAACAAGCCATTTCTTGCCCCAGTTAACAGACTGTAGGTCATTTTTAAGATCAGCTGCCAATTTGACCTTATCAAACTGATCAGACTTACTATCGAGACAAAAGTAAATGATTGTGTTATCAACATAGTTATCAAGTTGAGAACTGATGTCATCAGGATAGTCATTGATGAAAATTAAGACCAAAGCAGATCCAAGGATAGAGTTCTGGGTGACACCTACACTAGTACAAAAAATCTAGAAAAGTGGCCACTCAGGACAACTTTCATTTCATGATTTGATAAAAAAATTGAACCAGTTCAAAAATTCATCCGGAAATACCATAGTGTTTCAGTTTATGAAAAAGACTGGTATGCTAAATCCTGTCAAACACTTTCAAGATGTCCAAAGAAACAGCTCAAGTTTCACCATTGTTATCTATCGCTTGATAGACTCTTCCAGCAATAGTTATCAGTATCTCAGCAGTTGACAGAGAAGCAAAAACCATATTGCTTGTCTGAAAAAGGTCCTGCAATGTGAGATCCTTAACCAATTCAGTGTTGATTAAGGCCTCTACTAGTTTGGCAAAAAGAGGTAGAAGATCAATAGTTACAAGGGTCAGACCAGAGTTCTTAAATACTGGAATAAGAAAGGAGGATTTCCAACAAACAGGAAAGCAAGAGGCAGCAAGATATTTATTATACATTTCAGAGAGAGCAGGAGTTAGTTCCAGAGCACAATTTTTAAGGACTATTACAAGGATACCATCAAGTTCACATGCTTTGTGGTGATCTAATCTTTAGGCTTCTATGGCCAAATTAGTTAAGGTATCCTTCATATATGATGAGCTTCTGGAAAGACTGTCATGTTTAATACAACTTAAAATGTAATAAAAAAAAAATAGTAATAAAAAGTTTTAAAAAATTAGTCCAAAATTAAGAGTAAGATAATTTTTTTTGCTAAGAAATTAGTCATTTATTTTCATTTCATGCAACTTGAATATATTGTCATCAGCACTTACATTGTTTCTGCTATAAAAAAAAAAGAAAAAAAAAAGTCCTTTCTTAAACTAGTCCATGACAACTGTGATTGTACTATTCTCTTCCTGGTCTTACCATAAATGCCTCCATCTCATCTCCCCATTGGCTGCCTAGTTTTTTCTCACTTTTTTTTTGTTTTTGTTTTATTGTTTGCTACCTGTTGAGGACAAATCTAACATTTTTTTGTATCTCTTACCTTTTAATTTATTTTATTTTTTGCTACATGACTTGCCAACCACCATTTTTATCATTTAATACCGTCTATGATACATTATCTTGGTCACATTCTTGATCCATGTTGACCTGTTAGAGTTATCTCAAACAAAATCAGTTGAAAAACAAAAAAAAAAAAAAGAAACTTGAATATATAGAAATAACTAAACTAAAACAAGATCTTATTTTTTTATAATTTTCCAGCAAGATCTATACAAATTCTAAATTAACATTATTAATTTTATTGCAAATGAACATTATCTTATTTTCTTCAGCACTAAATGTGCTAGCATATAAGATGATCCATAAAATTCTGTGTTGTTAATTAAGCTTTAGGCCTATACTCATCAAAATAAGACAATGCTACTTCCATCAGATTATCAAGTGTATGCAAATCGAAATGAACATATACAAATCATATGTAAAGAAAGTTTTTATGCTTAAGAAATCAATTTCTATATTGGAATATATAGTAATTTTCTATATAATGTCAAAAATTCCCAAAGATGGAATAACAGAATATATTCAAGTACATTTTTCCATTGGTGTTTACCAATCTCTGAATCTTTCCTACAGTTTGAATATTTCTTTGTTTATAAAAATAAAAAATAAAATTAGAACAGAATAACACATTTATAAAGGGTTACTGAATGAGAGATAAGATCTTTAACTTTCTTGCTATCCACAGGCCATTCTTCTGTATTTGGGCAATCTTTAAAATAGATTAAAATATCAACACAGATCAGTGGATATGCAATTCATATGTTAAAGATATTAATATTTCACTGATTTTAAACTGACAAACTTTTTCAACATTACAATTGGTCTGTGGTATACAAAAGGTTTTGTGCAGTTTTGTGTAGTTTTTTTTTTTATATGCCAGTAGTAACATACATTTATTTTTTTAATCTATAAACTCCAAGCAAGGCAATAATGCCACTAAGACACAAGGGGCTACTGGAAATGAAAGTGAAGGAAAAGTTTTTAGAAGGAATTGGAAACCCAATCCTAATCAGGAGACAAGTGATAAACCTCTACTCCTGTTCAAAAGACCAGGGAGGATTGTGAATTGGATGATAGGTGAGGCTATCTACTCCTATTGAGGAAAAGAAATTAAAAAAATATAGCATAAATGAGGGCAATACTGTTAATGGGTAACTTGACATCAAGTCAGTATATACAAATATGACATATTAAGATAATTTCTGCTGATAAAAAAAAATGCAAAAAAAAATCAATTTCATTGGCAATACCAATGCTTTATTTGAGTGCTTTATATAAAAACAAAGAACTTCTTTCAACATCAATTTTTAAAAATCTGTAGTTTTCTAAATTGAATCTACAATAACCACTGATAGTAGAAATAGACCAATCTACAAACATAGCTATGTTAAATTCTGGGTGCTTTATCAAAAATTGTTCAAATAAGTAAATAACTAAATAAAAATCAATTTAATCATCAAAGATTTAAGGCAAAGACTCATCAGGACAAAAATGATTTTAGACTTCTTGTTTGCAGATGATGTGTCTCTGGTGGCTAGCAGGAAGCACAAGAAGTTGTAAACAGGTTTTCTCTACAGCAAAAGCATTTGGTCTAACAATAAGTGTGAAAAAAAAGCTTATATACAAGCCAAAATCTTCACCAATCCAAAGGAGAAGCCTAATATTACCTAGACCCCAATACAGTGTGCCATCACATCAAATTTTTGCGGACAACATGATTTTAAAGTTTGTAAAATCTTTCCTATACTTAGGGAACAAAATCAACTTCAATGCTTCTTTAGATGATGAAATATTAAATAGGATCCTCAAGGCTAGTGATGCCTTTGGAATAAGAGCAGATGGAGTTTGAAAAATAGAATTTCAGTTTATGGTGTAGTTGTCATTTCAACATTACTTTAAGAGCCCAAATCAGATACAATATAGAAAGAATATCATACAACTAGATACTTTCCATCAGTGATGTCTTAGAAATATCTGTAGTTTTACATGAAAAGACAATGTTGTTTGATAAATGTAATATAAATAGCATAGAGGCCTTCTTGATGCAGTCTCAGTTGAACTGACAATGAAGTTAGGCTAAATGATGAAAGACTACCAAAAATTCTCATTTATGACCAACTCCAGGAAGGGGTGTATAATTTAGGTAGACTACTTAGATACAATGATAAATTGAAAGATAATGAAAATTGAGGAGTATGCTGCTGACCATAGTATGTGGAGAAAAACATGCCAAAGTGGCATTTGGAGCCACATTCACACAAGGACTGAGTACATAAGTAATCTAAGGCAAATTCAAAAGAATACTACCTGTTCAAGATTTTGTGTGGTTTGCAAAAGCAGTGTCTCACAAAAGACAAACATTAGAATGTGGAGTAAAATAAAAAATAAATTTTTCATCCCCCTGTACTGAAATCAACAAGAGAGTCTACCATAAATATATAAAATAAAAAATTAAAATAAATTTCCCCATTAGAGATAATTTAAAAAAGATTTTTCCAGAATCATGAAATCATTAATGAATTTTTATCAGTATCTAAAATGTAACAGCTTGTATTCTTCAAAGTTTGTTAGAATCACATCTGTGCAATGAGTGGCCTGGAAAATTATTGCAAATGTTTACATGTATTATATTTAGAAAATGATTTATTTTGTACAATCTTTTATATATATATATATATATATATATATATATATATATATATATATATATAACAGAGGATGTCTGTGTGTGTGTGTGTGTGTGTGTGTGTGTGATACCTTTTCACTCGAGATCCATCCAACTGATTTTGACCAAACTTGACACATACATTGTACAATGTAAGAGATAGGTACTTAGTGTAAAAAAAAAACTCGATAATTTTTTAAAAAATCAATAATAGATAAAACCAATCAAAAATTGATAAATTCAACTTTTTTCCTATGATTTCATTCAAACTCGGTATGTAGGTTGCTTACATCATGAAGAGCTCAACGATACCCCATTTTTATTTCTACGCTACTGCGAAAAACCTCAAAAAACAAAACATCAATTTCAACACAAATTATAAACTAAAACCCCCCTCAATTGTAGTTGGTTGTTTAACAGTCATTTAACTTGATAAATGAGTCCACCCATATAGTGAAAATCTGCATAAATAGCAAAAAAATAGCGATTTTCACTGGTTTCTTTCTTATTTTTCATTGATCTTTCAACCAATTTTCACCAAACTTAACAATTGCTTTATAAATATATCCTTTTACATCCCTGGTAGCACACTGACAAACTGAATTTCAAAATAATTGTGGTCTGTAGTGGGTCTTCATGTTGCCTGTTTTAATCCTTCATGTCCTCGGCTAACTTTGATTGAATAAATACAGACTACTGTTATATCAGTAACCACAAAATGTTTTTTTAATGAAAGTACTTTAAAGTAATTGAAGAAGATAGACTGTTACATCTAAACCTAGTGCTATTTTTGTTCCATTTTAATTGAATGCTTTTTCTGATCAACCAGCTGGGTATGGTTGCTAGTCAGAGATAAAATATAGCCAGCAGCAAATATAGAACAGACTGATAATATTCATGTTAAGGTATCACCAATTTTAAGACTACATAAACAAGCAATGTGAAGAAAAAGGATATACACAATTTCAAATTTGGATGCTTCAGCAATGTGACCTTGCACCAACCTAAATTAAGTTTAGTAAACAGCTACATATGTAGATTCAATAATCTGTAGCTTAATTATGAAAAAAAAAATTTATTTTACACAACAATCTCTTTCCTTATTAATGCACTTGTTTCTATTAATCAAAAATTTACCAGTGAAAATTTCAGATAAAGCTTTGGCTATGGACTTATTGATACATCCTATACAAGGAGATGCTGAAAAGTTATTGATCATCATCAGAGCTGTTTGAACTTGAAAGTACCTTGTAAACCAGTGTGATTTCTCATCTTCAGCAAAGCTTCTCACTTCCAAACATGCCCAGATGCTTAGGCATTTGTGTTTCTTTAGCATTCAAAGAGCCCACTTGTGGTTACCAACCCAACCAAATTCATAAAATCTGACAAAATACCTAAACATCAGTTTTTAATCTCTTATTGGTCATACCAAGAACTTTTAGGCATTCTCTCATTTCAGAGTTTAAAACAATTTCTAAATACAAGTAGCTGAGAAATATCTGAATTCTAATGATTTCATGAATGTATAAGTCAAGGTTAAAAAGATACTGAAACAATAATTTCTATATAAAATCAACAAAAAAAACAACATTGCACTTAAATGTAAATGTTTGTGATAAGAGAAATTAAAGACACTTACCAAATCATCTGGGATGGGTTTGATTTTATCCCAGTTTACAGATGGCCCTGTTTCTTGCAAATATCGGCTAAATAGCTGCTCAAATTGGTCCATTTCTAAATGGCATTTCTGAAAAGATAAGGTTTATTTTGCAATTATACATGCCATAGCCCTATTTTGTTAGTAAAACATGCATTAATTCCTCTCTCATAATAATATCTTTTGTCCTCAATTTCAAATGCATAATATATAGACTGAATGCTAAAATTTAGTAAAGCAAATTTCAGATTAATACTTCAGCTGCTGTGATTGGACTCCTACATCTTTACAAAACTTACATTACCTAGGTTTTCAAGTGACAATGAAATGTCACTCTCTAAAATTTGTGTGTGTAAAGTAACTCATGATTAGTGCTATTTCCAAACCAATGTAGACATATAGTAGTGTACAATACAAACTGTTTTACAATGTATTTTTATTATATTGTGTGCTGGGGGATGTGTACTTAGCATAGTGTGTACTGCAGAGTATTTGATAGAAACCCAAATGGCAATACCTGTGAGAAATCACCATCAGCATCTTTATAGCCATTTATTTCCAGTAATAAATGGCCATTTTCAATTTTTCTCAAAAACAAGCCAGTTCACCCAGCAACAATGCAATGGGGAAAGTGTTAAAACGAGGATTCTGAGAAGATTGATAGATGAATGTCCTCATCTTTGTTGTTATTATCTCAACATTTTGGCTGCTATGCTCTGTAGCCTGCTTCAAGTGTCTGTTAATCTAGGTAACATTCAAGGAATTTTGAATTGAACCCTTTATTTAATCTAGAGGGGTAGACTGATCTCATTCAACTGTCCCTGCCTGGGGACATTTGTTTTTTACTGCTCAGTTATCACTAGTCCTGTTTCTATGAGATTGAAGTCACAACTACTATGCCACAAATTCATGAATGAATGAATAAATGATTTGCTTTTATGGCTTATCAACCCTTTGTGGGTTATTTAAAGCGACAACATATTTTGGATTGTAACAATTCTTTTTGAAAGTGAAAATTATATTAACAATTTTTTGAGAAAATCTTTTTTGCAGATAAAAGTCCTATTTAAACCATAGGTAGGGGGAGTAGATGGATTCATACCTTTCCCAAAGGTATTTGTATGTGTGTAAATGTAACGACTCCAACTGAAATTCGAACTCGGCTCTCTAATTTCTCCTTCCAAGCTGCTATTCAATACACTACTTGTACATCCACAAATTCACAAAGCAACTCTAATTGGCAGAGGGAGCCAAGTTTGACAGCAAAGTTTCAGTAGCAAAACAGGCCAGCACAGCCAGGCAACAATGTCACAGTGAGAGTGTTAAAAAGTATCACAAAATTAAGTACTTACATTTTTCATCTCTATTATTACTCAAAATATTTAGTTTCTTAGTGCAGAGGTAAGTGATAAAATAGTGGGGAAACCAAGCATAAAGAAAATCAGAAACTTTATTTATATATCAAACTCAAATGCAGTTTATACTTTATATTTTTCTTTTTTAATTTCTCCTGAGCATGTGACAATCATGGTTCTCTGAAACTTTATTATTATTATTATTATTATTATATTTGTGTATTGCTAAGATTTATTCATGGAAAATTAGTACAATGGTTCCTGGTTACATTCATCAGTTTTGAATTGAGAGTTGTCCTAGATTGGTTGCCAACCAAGACTAAAGAGCCCAGTCTGTCCTACTGTTTTATCTACCACTATAGAAAAATGGAGTCATGCCTTTCCCAATAACAATAGTACAAAAAAAAAAAAAAAGTTCTAGTCAGAATTTGAGCATGCCACTTGCACATCCTGTCCTAAAATGTAACCATGATTATTGTTTCATCTCCCTCTCTCACCTTCAGAATTTGCTGTATCACTTGATATTCAATTCCACAATTTCCTGTATCATTCAGTATTTAATTCCATGTTTAAAGAAAAGTGGATTTTTCCCCAAAAAATGTTTGGAAAACTTTCTTTTTTCTCAATGTTCAGCTACTTATGAAATGTTTTAGTGATTGAAATAAATGAAAATATGTGGTTGTTAAATCTGGTGAGTATGGTGGATATGGAAGAGTCTTCCATCCTATTTTTTTCTTACACTCGTTTTGTAGAGTATGCCCTTACAGTGTAATGCTGGAACACAAAACCTTTTCTTTTTATCAAAGCAGAACATTTTCAACATAATGCTTCATTTATCCAATCAAGTTGCTGGTAATTAAACATCTGCAGTGATGGTCCTTTCATGTTCCACTAGCACACGGTTCATTGTAATGTTCTAGTAAGTATCTGACTCCCCCTGCTATACGCTATCTTTACAAGAGTCAGATCAGACCAAAAATGGAGTATTGTTGCCAAATTTTCTGAACTGGAGCTGCCCAGTTTTCACTTGTCTGTCTTGGGAGTTCAAAAGCATCTACATGGTCTTGTGAGTGATGAATTATTTTCCACCCTACAACCTTTTTTCCACAGACAAACATCACAAACCTCTCACTACTCTATTGCGGTTTCCATGGTAAGTATTCTGACAAGCTACATTCCTTAGTTCCACCAGCCCTAAACTTTGCACTTGGGACCTGCCATGTCATGTATATGAGGATAAATCATCCTCATTCCCATTGTATTCCATTAGTAAGAACAAATTTCCACTCAGACACCTCCCCACACCCCAAGAACTGCTACTCTGTGGAACCAACTTCCAGGTGGATGTTTTCCTGATCACTACAATCTTAATCTCTTCAAGTCTAGGGTCAACCATTATCTTTCTTACATAACCTCATAAGCTGCACTTCTTGCTTTCTCTTACATTCATACAACACCATAACGCAACCCTCTAACTTGAATAGCTTGTATTAGATGATCACCAGTAGGAAAAAAAAAAAGCTCATAATGGACAACACCTCTCATATTAGAAACAAAGCAAAGACTTCTGTGGTGTGTTTTGATGTTAACACGGGTTTCTTCTTTTGTGATAATCAATGTTCTTTTGGTTTCTGTTAACATACATAAGCCATTTTTCATTACTTGTAATAATGCGATGCAAAAATGAAAGATTGGCATTCCTGGTTAAAAGACTGCTGTAGATGGTGGTACATAGTATTCAGTTCTCAAGCAAACACTAATGAGGAAACCAAATTTCATCTTTGCAAGTTTTTGCCTGTTAAACTCAGAAATGTATTACAAACTATTGGATAAGAGACAAACTAATTCAAGACAGAGTTTCTTACCATTCCAACTTTGGTTCTGCCTGGTCAGTTGACTCATAATGCATAGTTGTGGAATATGCAATTATTTACTGAACACCCTAATATATTCTTAAATTATACAGAGCCTACTGAATTTGATAATATATAAGATCCACTTTTTATTTTACCCTAAATATTAAAATTTCATTAACATGTGATGAATGCATTTTAAGTTCTGAACTGTGCCAAACAGAGAATATAATATTCCAGTAACATTCAATGTTTTTCTTAATCCTCTCTGTTGAAATGGAAGTTGTTTTTATGACTGAATACCGTAATCACTTAGGAAAATGATTTCAGAACAAAATCATGGATTATCTGCAATGTAAAAAAAAAAAAATTCTTCAAGGTTACAAATCTGTCCCAAATGGATCACTAGGAAACAAGCCAGTATTCCTTAAGCATCAAACAATGAAAACAAAAGGAGTCTTGTTATTTTTCTTCTAGTGTCATTTATTAATTATACTAAAACTGGTCTTATCTTGTTGAGTAAACACCAAAATATTTAATGCTTATAAGATTTTAAAATACTCTAGATAGCTAATAGCAATTTCTATCATTTCAAAAATAAAACAATTGCCCAATACTCCTTTTGACCAGTCATCAGTGAAAAGATTTTGTCCTAAGATCAACTCAATGAAAAGGAGCAAAGGAAATACATGGTAAATATAGTTTTAGTTAATGAAAAAAAAAAAAAAAAAAAAAAAAAGTAAAAAGGACAGGAGAGAAATTTTCAGAAAATGTCAAAAAATTGCTGTTTCTCTGGTATATTTGCAAATGTGAAAGTTCCAGTAAGCAGTAAAGAAAAAAGTAGCATATACTATTTGCTTAATGAATTGTTTACAGTAAATGATCCCCCAACAAACACAATAAGTGAAAGTAGTAATAAATCAATATAACTGATAATTATAAAGAAGAAAAAAAGATTTGAAGATTAAAGGAAGTAATAATTGTAAGAAAATATTGTCAAGAAAATCTCCCCCCCCCACTTCAAAAAAAAAAAAAAATGTCCAGAGACAGTGCAGGCCAAGGAAAGGAGCAAAAGTACTTACCTTAAGTTGTGAAAAAATATTTCCTTCCATAATGTAGCTTAATTGTCTGATAACTTGCATTGAGTTACAAGAGCGAAAAAAATAAGGAGCAAAAAACATTTCCTTTATAACCACTTCAGGGATCACGTGGTAACAAATCACGAGACCCTGTAGCTATAAAAAAAATTAGTAAAAAGGTAACAGCTTTTAGTCAACATGAACCAACAATTCAGGTAAGTACATTACTCCTTCCCCCGCCTGATCCAACAATTTCTCCACACCTTCCCGAGAAGCAAAAGAAAAAAATATATAAGCAAAATAATTCTTAATAATATTTTAATTTTTTTTCTTTTAGTTCTCAGGAAGGTGTGGAGAAATTGATGGTTCAGGCAGGGGAAAGAGTAATGTACTTACCTGGGTTGTTGGTTCTTGTTGACTAAAAGCTGTTACCTTTTTACTAATTTTTTTGTAGTTACAGGGTCTCATGACTTGTTACCATGTGATCCCTGAATTGGTTATAAAGGAAATGTTTTTTGCTCTTTATTTTTTTGCAAAATGTTGAGAAAATCTCAACTCCAAAAAAAAAAGTCCAGAGATGGTGCAGGCCAAGGAAAAGAGCAAAAGTACTTACCTTCTTAAGTTGTGAAAAAATATTCAGGGATCATGCTTTTAGTCAACAACAACCTAGGTAAGTACATTACTCCTTCCTCCACCTGAACCGTCAATTTCTCCACAATATGAAAATGAAGACTGATTATAATAATTTTAAATTTAGATTTAACCTTCAAAGCCTTGACATATTTCTTGTTCAACAAACAAAT